CCCAGGAGGGTCCCTGCATCCCAGGAGGGTCCCCCCATCTTTGGAGGGCCCCTGTATCCCAGGAGGGTCCCTGCATCCCAGGAGGGTCCCCCATCCTGGGAGGGCCCCTGCATACCTGGAGGGTCCCTGCATCCCAGGAGGGTCCCCCATCTTCGGAGGGCCCCTTCATACCTGGAGGATCTCTGTATCTGGGAAAGATCCCCCACCCTGGGAGGCTCTCCACATCCTGGGAGGGTCCCCGAAACCCCAGAGGGCCCCTGGAGCACCCTTGCCCCATGCAGGCGCCCACGCAGGGGTGGGCCGAGCCTCTCCCTGCTCAGTCTCCCGCCTCCACAGGACATCGGGCTCGCGTCCTTGGGGGCTTCTGACGAGGAAATCGAGAAGCTGTCCACGGTGGGTGCCTTCCCCTGCCGGGCCTTGGGGGGCACGCTCAGGACACTTGGGTTCAGGCCGGGGGGCCCCCCATCTGGGCTGAGGTCCCCTCTTCTGTCCAGGGAGTGTCACCTTTACGCTGTGATCCCCAGGGCCGGCCGGGCCCTGCTGGGGCTGGGGGTGCGGCAGGGCCGAGCGGCAGGGGCTGGCGGGGTGGCGGCTGTGGGCACCCACGCACTGCGGTCCCCCCCAGCTGTACTGGTTCACGGTGGAGTTCGGGCTGTGTAAGCAGAATGGCGAGGTGAAGGCCTACGGCGCTGGGCTGCTGTCCTCCTACGGGGAGCTCCTGGTGAGGCCCGCCCCTGCCGCGGCCCTGGCCCGGAGGGTGCTCACACTGGGGCTCCTGGGGAGGGGGGAGCAGGGTGACCGAGAAAGCTCATCCTGCGCCGTCCCAGCCGCAGGGTGCCCAGGCCTCGAGAGGACCCCTGCGGGGAGGGTGTGGAGTCAGGGAGCGGCGCTCCTATTCCCTCCGGGCCCAGGGTGGGGGGGTCCTGCGACCTCTGGCCTCCCGCAGCACTCCCTGTCTGAGGAGCCTGAGATCCGGGCCTTCGACCCGGAAGCTGCTGCCATGCAGCCCTATCAGGACCAGACCTACCAGTCCGTGTACTTTGTGTCCGAAAGCTTCAGCGATGCCAAGGACAAGCTCAGGTGGGCCAGGGCTCCCAGGGCCGAGACCCCCCCCCACGCCCCCAGACTGGGCTAGCCTGCAAGCAGGGCCCGGCGTGCACACCCCTCCCACCGTAGGCCCCCCAAAAGTCCCGGGGGGGTGGGGGGGAGAGCTGCCCGACTGGTGGCCAGGTCAAGGCCAGGTTTCAGGAGGCAGAGTTTGACCTTTGTAAGAAGGATGTGTGGGGCCCTTCCCAGCCTCCTGCCTGCTGAACAGCTGGGGCCGTTGGGTGGGACAGAGGGGCAGGGGTGGCTGAGGGTGGGTGGGGGGCCCCGGGGGGCCTGGAGGGGGCAAGGAGCCCCCAGGGCCGGGGGCTGAGGGTGCGTGACCAGTGGTGTCTGGGAGAGGGGGCAAAGCCTGACGCATCCCACCTGCTCATCCTCGGAAAGAGTCTTGTTTTCCAGCTAAGGGAAACCGAGGCCCAGGGGCTGTGTCTGCAGAGTGGAGGTGCGGGAGGGCCGGATCCCACAAGCAAGCGTGGGGACAGGAACAGACCTGGGGCTCTCTGGGGCACACAGCCCAGGAAGGCCTCCCGGAGGGGTGGGGCGGGATGGGGGTCCAGCAGAGGCCCGCTTGGGAAAGGCCTGTCCTTCCCCTGCCCCCCACCCTTGGAGCAGGTCTTGATCCCCCATCTGGTCCAGTCGGTTGGTTGCAAGGAGTTTTGGGGCCTGGGCTTGCCCTGCACTGATGATGCGCCCCCCTCTCCTGGGGACCGCAGACTCTGTCCCAAGCGGCCCCTGCTCCTCCCCACCCCCCCAGTGCCCCCCGAGTCCCCACCAGGTGACTGAGGGTCCGTACGCCCTCCCCTCCCTAGGAACTACGCTTCCCGCATCCAACGCCCCTTCTCCGTGAAGTTTGACCCGTATACCCTGGCCATCGACGTGCTGGACAGTCCCCACGCGATCCGGCGCTCCCTGGAGGGCGTCCAGGATGAGCTGCACACCCTCACCCATGCGCTGAGCGCCATCAGCTAGGAGCAGTGGGAGAGGCCCCGAGGTCTCCCTTCCCTTCCCCAGCCTCCCCCCGGCCCCTGCCCACGTGAGGGGCTGGGTCACTGGGCACCCCGAGAGCCCGCCAGAGATCCTCCCTGCTGGAGGGCACCCCGCAGACCCCCACCCCACTGCTGCTCAGCTCTGCCTGCTGTGTCCTTGTCCTGCCCATGCTGCCCGCGCCGCCCGCTCACAACCTCAATAAAAGAAAGAATCCCTCTGAGCGCCTCCCTGGCCTCCTGTGTGTGCTGGGCTCAGGGCTGGGCCCCTCACCCCCTGCTCCTAGCCTTGCTCAAAGCTTTCTCTTCTGCCTCCGGCCTTCTCCGAGACCTCACCAGGCAGCCCAGGCCAGATAGGAGATGCCCTGCTCACCCCGGAGGACCAGCCTGTGCTGAGCCCCCAGCAGCTCCGGGGGGCGGAGGGGGTCCTGGCTGAGCGCATCATCCCTGTAGGGGCGGGGGGTGGGGGCATCGGGAGCCGCACCTGGGGCTCACAGCTCTGCGTTTGGCCGGTGTGGCTTCCAAGGCAGGGCTGCAGGCTGGGCCCTCCCCACAAGCCGGGTGTCCCCACTAGAGGACAGGGGTACAGGGACCAGCCCGTAGCAGGTGCAGGAACGGGGGGCCCTGAGGCATCCCACCCGCACGGAGCAGGGCCTGGAAATTGTCCCAAAAATGTGTGCTGATGGGGAGTCCAGCTGAGCTGGTTCCCAGATAACCTCCCTGGGCCTGAGTCCCCCAGCAAGGCGTCTGCGGGCTGGATTCCGGGCTCTGTAAGCTGCCCCTCAGCTCACTCAAGGGGTCTGACATGGCCCTCCAGCTGGAGCCCCCGCATCCTCCAGGGCTGGCCCAGCCCAAGGGGCTCCTCCTCCCGCCCTGCCCCTGGTCCTCGGGGAGAGAAGCCCGGGGGCTTCCCGGGGCGTGCCTGGCTCCCCCCTCGTCGTGGGGTGAGAAATGCCCACCGGTCTCCCAGGCCCTGCTCACTCCCGGCAGCTGCGCCTGCCACACATCGCCAGGGCCCCGGCGTTAAGCTTTTAGGATGTCAGTCCCCGCAAACTCCTATTCATCTGTCAAGGCCCTCTGGGGCAAAAGCTTCTTCCCCAGCCCTCCCTGGTGGTCTGAGCACCTTGCCCATCCCAGGCCTCCCCTACCTGCATCCCTTCAGCCCACGAGACCCCAGTGAGGCCATTTCTGAGGGCTGTGAGCCCCACTGAGACCCTGGGGAAGAGGTGAGGGCCAGCCCCAACCCCCGGGCTCTACTGGCCCCTGGGCTCCGCCCTCTCACTGGGGTCCTGCTCCACCCAGCTTCCTGTCCTGCATGTTCCTCTCAAGAGACCCCCAGACCTTCCGTGGCTGCAGATGGCCATGGGCTCCATGCTGGCTGTGGGGGTTGCCGCGCGGCCCAGGCGGAAGCGGCAGTGGGGAAGGCGCCCCACGGGATCAGGGGCGTCCACCCTGTGCAGAGTGCAGCATGGGGGAGTTGCTGAGCTCGGAGCAGGTGGGCCAGGCCCCTGTAGTCCCCCGGTCGTGCGGGGCCACAGACCAGGACTGCCTGGGCAGAGGATCCAGCCTGGAGACTGGGGTCCATGCTGAGGCAAGGGCACAGGATGCCCCCAACCCTTCCTGCCCACTTGGTCTGAGGCGACAGGAGGAGGCAGGGCTCAGCCTGTCACAGACCCTAGTGGTGTCATGGTTAGACATGGCAGGGGGAGGGGGAGAGGGTTCTGACCTCTCTCCTGGTCCTGTCCAGGGGGCTGGGGAGCACCCCAGGGGCCCCAACCATATATATGAAAGCCCAGGGAGTCGATGGTCTGAAAGTGGTCAGCATGGGGGAGTCTGGCGGGGCCTCCAGAAGCAGGGGTGGCACGGAGGGGGAACGTGGGCAGGACGGGTGGGGCCCCCACACAGAGGGTGTCTGTTGCCCCTACAGCAGACATGAGAAGCAGGGCCTAGCCCGAGCGTCCACACAGCGAGCGGCTGGTCCCCAAGCTCGGCCCTGGGTGCTGAGGGTCTCAGCAAGGTTGCCGTGCTGGGGTGGGGTAGGGCTGTGAGCAGGGACGAGATGCTCCCCCACACCACCCCCATGGCCTTGCACCATCCAAGGGGCCCGGGGGGCAGACAGGGGTCCAGGGGCCAGGCAGAAGAAGCCCCCTCCTCTGGCCCCCGGCTCCCCTGGACTAATGTGGAAAATGTGGCTCAGGCAAGGCCCTGGGGGGTGGGGGCTCTGCTCCCATGGAGACACTTGCCCCCAGCTGTGAGTGGCCATCAGGCCCCTCGTTAAGACTCTAATGACCCCGTGGGCCCGCAGGTGCTGACGACCAAGGAGCCGTTCCCGCAGACCCAGCACTGGGGAAATGATCCAGAAATTGCCGCCTCAGCCCCCCGGCCATCTGCCACCCCCACTGGGGGCCCTAATGGGGCGGGCAGTGGGATCAGGAGCTATAAAGCCAGGAGGGCCCCGCAGCCCCCAGCCCTCTGGGACCAGCTGCACCCGGACACGGACGGCTAGCAGGTGTGTCCCCGTGGGCTCCTTGTCAGCCTGGGGCTGCCCCGCTGAGGAGTCCGGGGTGTCTGGGCCCCAGGAGGACAAGAGCTCCTACCTCAGAGCGTTTGGGGGCCGAGCACAGGGTGGGGTCCTGGGTGGGGCACATGCCCCTTCCAGCCTCAACCCCGTCTGTCCCCCAGGTCCCCGTCCCCCGCCATGGCCCTCTGGACGCACCTCCTGCCCCTGCTGGCTTTGCTGGCCCTCTGGGCGCCGGCCCCGAGCCGAGCCTTCGTTAACCAGCACCTGTGTGGCTCCCACCTGGTGGAGGCGCTCTACCTGGTGTGCGGGGAGCGCGGCTTCTTCTACACGCCCAAGGCCCGCCGCGAGGTGGAGGACCCGCAGGGTGAGCCCCCGCCGGCCCCACCCTGGCTTCCTACCTGGCACCGGGGAAGGCAGGCGGGATCGTTAAAAAGAACAATGACATGCCCTTGGTCGCGTCCTGCAGGCGACCCGCTCCCCCGTCAGTGTCGGGCAGCAGGGGCACGTGGGCAGACTCAAGTCTTGGCCCCCCCCGGGGCCTGGGAACAGATGGCAGGGAGCACGGGCCCCGTGCCAGGCGGCGGGCACCCTGCTGTCCCGGCAGAGGCCGGCACGGGACGGTGGGCAGGCGGGGGAGCGCGTTCCCTCCCCGACCCGCTCCCCCTTGTTTGCTCCCCCGCAGTGAGGGCCGTGGAGCTGGGCGGGGCGCCTGGACCGGGCGGCCTGCAGCCCCTGGCGCTGGAGGGGGCCCTGCAGAAGCGGGGCATCGTGGAACAGTGCTGCACCAGCATCTGCTCCCTCTACCAGCTGGAGAATTACTGCAACTAGGGCGCCTCCCCGCGCCAGCGGCCCTGAGCCTTCCGAGCCCTGCACCCCAAGCTATTCAATAAACCCCCTGAATGAGCCTTGTGTCGTCTGTGTGGCGTGGGGATTGAGGTGTCGGCCGGGGGGCCGGCGAGGTGACTGCCTGGGCCGTGGGGGCCCTTGCAGGGACCCCCGTCCTGTTCGCTACACCAGCCCCTCCAAGCTTGGCCCCTGCTCACTGGGTGCCCACAGGCGAGCTCCTGCCCTGGGTGCTGCGAGGTCCCAGGGCCCCTGGCTGCTCAGGACAGGACAGAGAAGGGCTCTGGGGGCTCTGGGGGCCTGGGGGGCCTTGGGCACTGGCTGGGAGCAGATTCTCTTAGCTCAAAGCCTTGAGCTCTCAGGGCCCCCAGAGCGCTTTCCAAGGAAAGAGAATGAGAACACTCCAGCAACTTCTCCCCACCTAGCCCTGCGGTGCTCTACTTTTAAAGCTATTTCTGATGGAGGCCGAGAGGGGGACGGGGTCCTGCAGGGGCAGGGGACAGAGAAGGGCCCAAGAGGCTCCCCAGGGCTGGGCCTTTCTAGTGCCTCTCCACCACCCCTGCTCCGGGCAGGCCCAGGGCTGTCCCAGCCCCAGCCCAGATCCAGCCAGAGGAACCCACGGGTGCCCTGGAGGAATCAGAGAAGCCACATGGCAGCCTTGAGCTGAGGGACAGACTCGGACCCTGTGGGCACTGGGCAGGAGCCTTGGGCCTGGCACTCAGGGGCGTCCCGGCTATGCTGCCCCAAGAACTGCAGCCCACAGGGCCCAGGCTGGGTCTCCCTGCTGCCCTGCGGCCCTCTCCTCCTGCTCAGCAGCCCCAGACCAGGTGGTCAGTCCCAGAAGGGCCTTCGGGCCTAAGGATGAGGTCACTTGGGTTCAGGTCTTCAGGGATCCTCCAGTGTGGGTCCACTGGGCACCCCGCCTAAGCCGTCACCTGGCGTGCCAAAGAGCCTGGGGGCTGTCTGGGCTGGCCGTGGCCTGGGAGGTCAGCGGGTGACCCTGGCAGCACAGAAGGCTGGCCAGCCGGCCACCCAAGCCAAACCAATGTGCACCTCTCCTGAAGGCCCCGCCCGGGGCCGGGGCTGGGGATGGCTGGGCCGGGGGCCGGGTGCCCAGGCCCCCCGAGGCTGCAGACCACGCAGAGGCGGCCTCGGGGCCAGAAGTAGATCGTCCTGCTGGGGCCTGGCTGTCTCGGCAGCCTCCCTGTAGCCCCCAGGTTCCCTCTTGGGCCACCCCCTCCCCACGACATCGACACCCCCAGAGACGAGGCCGTCCCCCAACTAGCTCCGCCCCTGGAGTGGACGGCCGGACACTGGACCCGGAAGAGGAGGGGAGGAGGCGGCAAATCGCCCATGGGAGCACCCAGGTGGCCCCATCCGCAGGGGTAGAGGCAGGGGCGTCCTGCAGGAGTTGAGGTAGGTAAGTGCCCGGGGCCGGCCTGGAGGCAGCAGTTAGCCAAGCCCGTGTTCTGGCTGGCCTGCTGGCGGGCAAGACCCTGAAAGATGACCCAGCTGTCCCCCTCCCCCTCAGGGGCCAGCAAATTCTGTGGAGTGGGGAGCAAGAGTATATGGGGCCATCTCAGCTGGTGGGACTCACGGTGCAGCTGGTCTTGGGTGGTGCTGGGGACTCGGGGGCGTCATTGGAGGACTCCCTTCCATTGGGGGGGCTCAGGAGAGGGCTCATGTCCATTGGGGTGGGAAAGCCTGCCCACCCAAGAGACACGGGCATGGTGTGTGGCCACCCTTGGCCCCCCTGCCTGGGCCGGGGCCCATCTCCCCGTTCCCTCCTGAGACTTACAGCAGCCCTGAGACCCAGGCTCTCCTGCCGAGCCTTTCCCACCAGCCCCTTGGCCCCCC